CACTAATCTCCTTGCTATATCCTGAATCGCTCAATTACCTTTTGTCTTCAATTTCAGAGGCATTTATTGAACCCACACGTCAGACTTTTGTGCAGGAAGCAGTTTCATATTGGATTCAGGAACATATTCGTCTGAGTATTTCTCATACTTATACCTCAATTTGTTAAGGTTGTTTAAATTTTCTTGGTTAATTTGCTTCTTGACATGCCCTTTTAAGCGTACTTTCTCACTGCTTATTTTTTTCAAGAGATGTCTTTCTTTCTAACCTCAATTCTTTTCAATTTCCTAATAATATCTTCCACTATTGGGTAGTGTTGACTTTCCACTTTGCAGCACTTTATCTTTTCTACCTTTCTGAATCATTTGACTCCTTTGGCATCGTTTGTTCATTTTAGGAAGAGAACAAGAGCCAGTATTCTTCTGAAGGACATTTGCTCTGTTTTCCTCAATAGGAAATTGGGGCTTTTCTTAGGCCTTTCATATCAGTAACCCCACGTCCCTCTTTTTTTGATTGGGGGGTGCTATCCACTTCAGCCAGGTTTGGCATGATCAGTTGTATCTCAGCTCGGATGTACTGGGGATATCATGGAGACACAAACCAAAAGCAGCAATGTTCATGGCCTAACACCCCACAAGACCCTTTGGATCAGCTGGGTATTAAAGGGAAACCGGGTAGAACGTAGGTCTTACTCCTTTGATATGATCTTCCTCCAACCCAAAGGGCCCTTGTTTCAGGTATCTTTAACTGAGTCTGCTCTCTCATAGTTCTTTTGTTTGCTATGACTGCAATATAGGGAAGAAGGGGCTTTTTACGCATCCATTAGTGTGCCAAGGGGTTGTCTTCAGGTGTATTACAGCAGCAAAGGTCACACGTCCGTCATAAATGTAATAAAAGAAGCAGCTCAAACTGAACTTCTGGTGCAAAGAGACACTGTGCAATCTATCTAGGGCCACTGTCACTGTGAGCTGTATTTTTCCCATCACAAATCTGTTATTTCCAGTGCCCAAGGACCATGTAGCCATTTGCAGAACACACTGACATCCCACAACAACTCACGTACCTCTGGCAGTGGTTCAGATGGTTGGGATCTCAGGAATAAGCAATAAAACTGAAGCTCTCAAGAACAATAGCTTCTTTGCTAGCCTAAGGAGAGGCACATTTTTAACAGTGACAATATGACTGAAGATAAGGGTTTGGCACCAGGGCACTGAGAAGGAATACAAAGGACACCACTCCTAATCAGCAAGGTTGTTTATAAATGCAATTTCTCTTTAGAAAAAAGGCCAAAAGATGTTCTGCCTTGGAAAATACTTATTTGGAAAAACTTGGTTTTACTGGAGCATTTGTTATTTTAGATGATCCTATTCTATTTTGAAAGTATCAAGTTAATTAATAAAGCCATTCTGAGGTCACGTATCTAGTTCACAGTTGAACTGAAGCTCTGGGCTTCTCTGAGGAATTATAGAAGTTGAATGTGAGATGAGCATCCCAAAATACTCATGGTAAGTCCCCTCACATTCAGACAATTATCTCCCAGTCAGTGTGTTTAAGAAATCATGACATACTTGAAAAAATCCAGGCCCATGATACCCATAGGCTTTAAGTCAGAGGTGGGGAAGGTGTGTTACATTTAAAAAAAGAAATGGCCACAAAGACCCTTTTGTTTAAACGCCTCCAGGGTGCTCTGAAATGTGTTCTAGCAGGGGACAAAGCCTGGGTGAGCAGGAGGCTGATAGAAGGGAGTCTGCAACAGGCATGTAGTTTATACAGCCCTGAACACTGACTATGAATTTCAGTTGAGTATGTTTTGCTGAGTGGTTTTGAGCTACTGGTTGTTGCATTTTTTGGAAGAGGCGTTTAGGTGACTAGCTGGGTAGTTATGTATGAAAGAAAAGAATGAAGAGCCTAGGAAAAAAAGAAAAAAAAGCTACTTATTCGGATTAGAGTGGTGTACTATTTCACAACATGCTGGAGATGTGGAGTCTTCTACAGCATGTGCTGCGATCCCACCAACTGGTGCCAGCAGCTAGCGCTCTGTGAGCAGGTCAGCAGCCACTGCAGTCCCGCAGACTGCAGTCCCGGAGGCAACAGTGAAGTTTAAAAAGGGTCTTTTAAGACAGAAGGGAAAGACAACGTAATTAAGTAGTCGGGTCCATTGGAAGCACCTGGGCTGTTCTCAACCGGGACAGGTCAGTTCCTTTTTAGAACAAATATATATTCAGTGGCATTTTGGATGATTTCCATTTACAGTAATATTGTTGTAACATAGGAAAGAGAGGTATATTTGTCTTAAGCATTTCTTCTTTGAAACAGACAGCAGAAGGAGCAGAGAAATTACAAGAGGTAGTGAGTTTAGCAAACCTTTACATAAAACAATCTTTCATAAGAATAAAACGCTGCATTTAAAGCTGTAAATGTATACACCCATCTAATTTAAAAATACAAAGCTTTTACTGTGTTTCAGGGCTTGCTTTTCTTTATGTTCAGAGAATGAAACACTCAAGTGCCGGACTTAAAGTGGTTAACCTCATTGCACTGGCAAAACCAAACCATTCATGCAGCACTGGGCTTTTAACTCATCTAAGTCAGAAAGTTAAACTGGCAATTAGTGTAACCAAAGTGCAGTTGTGTTCTTCACACTGTGTACATTTTGACTGGCTTGTAAAAAGAACGTAGAAGTTCATGACTCTCCCTGGCAGCTTCCTGAGATGACCGAAGAAAACATGATCTGCAACATATTTGGCCACAGAGTGACTCGGAATGAGAAGGCAGGTTTCTATCAGACAGTGGAGAAAAGTCAAAGTCAGCTACCTGGAAAAGGAACATCAGAGAAAGAATTTTTAATTCAGATCCTACTGCCTCAAGTGAGTCAAGCAAGAACACTTCAAGCCAGAAATGGCACTTGGTCCTCAACCAGTTTCAGGCAGTCACCAACTCCAGACAGACTTCTGGGTTATACCTGCTGCGCACCTGGCTCACCGGCAGGCTCGCTACAGGTACAGCATTCATATTATGCCACGACATAAAGGGTATGAGGTACTTTCCAAAGGGCCAGGACAGCTACCTGTGATTTAGGAGCTCGTGCTTATTACAAATACGATTGTGTAGCAAGTGAAAGCTACACCAGAGATGGAAGGGAGCTGAGGAGATAAAGGGTGATAATTTAGTGCCACTTAAGGTAACATACCCACCCTGCATCCTCTCTCACTACCTCCTGCTTTCTTTTGTGTAACCACTCAGGTAGATCTCCTGGAAGGGATACTTCAATCTAAGCACCTTCTTGGGAATATTAACAAACTGCTCATTATAGCCCTGGAAACTTGAATTATACTTCCCCACAGCTAGCCAAAAGCATGCCTGTTGCTTAAAGCGTTTGCCTACACTGTTCAGATCTTTCCATGGAACGGATCAGACATACCAGGGAAATGCTCCCTCCCACTGTTTCCCTGGGGATTAAAGAAGGGAGGTGGCTGAAAGGTACCTAATTACTCTCCCAGCTCAAAGTAAAAGTAACCGGATACCTCCACGAGATCTTTTTGTTGTGTGTTACTTCGGAAGGTCGTGTACAGCACCAGTCCTAGCATCACTGAAACCAGAGTGAGGCAGAGCAGGACAAAGAAAGCCGGATGGATCCCTAGGAAAGAGCACAAGGGGACATTCCTGGAGTGATACAATACACAGAGGAGAGGCAACAGTGAGAAGGGTATTTTGTTTTAGGGGAAATTTCATATTTTTTTAGAACAAAGGACGTGTGTAACAGGGAATAAGTTTTTCAGCCCAGATCACTTCAGGCCTTTCTGAAATCTTGTGTGAATGCGGGGTTGTGAAGTTGTAAGGGTCTTTCCTTTTTTACTCCTCTTTTCCCTAAAACAGCCTAAAAAACTCCACCCAGTTACAAATGTTAGCCCTAACTGCAGGGTGTTTCTACCTCTGTGATACTCGAGAGGAGAGGAATCTCAGTCAGCATCTTCACAGCTGCTAGCAGGCTCCAGCAAAGCGGATTTCTACACGTAGCCCCAAAGGTACACCAGTGCCTTCTGGAGCGAGCTGCCCTGTCTGTGTACACGTGCTGGCCCACAGTGAGCTGGGATAACCCTTCTGTGTCCCAGCCAGGCTGTCCTCTGGTCAGGTCCTCTTCCCCTGGCCATCTAACCACCTTCTCAGCTGATTCAGGGACCCAAGAGGGGCTTGTGTGAGCATACACAGGGGAGTCAGCAGGGATTGCTGGCTTGGGGGGACAGAAAGCGATAATGAAATAGAGGCCTAGAAAAATCTTAAAAAAACCCATAACTAAACTAAATAAAAAGAATTGAGGCTGCTTAATTAAGGGAATATTATAGACGCGTATGTTTTCCTAGTTATCCTCTCTAACTACAAGAGCCAGACTATTTAAACTGAAAAATATGTAATTTAAGTAACTCAGCCTTCCCAGGAAACTCATTAGCTTCAAGACACTCTTGAGACTAAAAGAAGCTCAGAGCAATTATAGCAGACACATTATAAGCTCTCCTTTCTCTTCCTATGCTTCTAGGGGTCTACAGCAGTTTCCAGAAACCTCATCTGCAGGGTAGTAACTGTCCCTGAGATGTTGGAGTCTGTCGGTGCCTTGACAGGTGGGAATCTCTGCACTGCTCAGACTAGCTGCTCCTCACCCTTTGGCCACACTTTTATTTCATGGTAGGTCTGCAGCATCGTCACGCTGTTCTCCACTCTGACGCTGAGGCAATACTGCCCAGCATGGCTGAAGATATGGCTGAGATGGTAGCAGGAGCCATTAAGTGCCACCAGATGGCATTTGTCACCTTCAAGTGGAATGCATTCGGCCTTTATGAGCCAGCATAATGCCAGTGGCGGGCTGGAATGACAAGAGCAAAAAGAAAAGAAAGAAAAATTAGATGAAAACTTTGCAAAAATTTCAGCTAAGAGCTGGTTAAAATAGCATAATAATTCTGAAAATAATGGAAATAATCTAAATACCAATAGATAAGTAAATAAATGAACAATAGTTTAGTTTCTAGCATTTGTCATTTGAGAAAGTTTTGTGATGCTGTATAAAAACAAGCCTTTCAGCTGAAAGCTAAGTACCTGTGCCGGCCATTGAGTGTAGAAAACCCTACAATCCTTCTCCAATAAAGATTAAAGGAACTCTTTTTTCCTGCCCTTCCAAGGGACTGTAGGTTGTTTTTCCTTTGTCCTTTTCACACAGTGGAGATCACTGTCTGTGCTGCTGAAGCACACCCAAGACTTTTCTGAATAAAAACCCAACACAGCCAAAACTGAAAGAATGCAAGATGAGCTCTGTACAATGGAGAAATAGCTGAAAAGGTAAATAAGTTGCAAGGATCACAGTACTCCCTTACAAGAACAAAAAGGTTTATTTTTGCTATCAAGCAATCTAGGTGCAATCCACTTTATGGCCATGTCTTCTCACCATGTCTACTTGATGCCTTCTATTTACATTTTTCAGACCCTTGTTCCAGCTGCTTGAGCTTGGACTCACCTTATGCACTACGGACTTTGATTCTGACAACAGACAGAGCTTTTCTTTACCTCATCTTCTTAGTATTTTGTTCCTTATCTCTTTGGAACAATCTCTGCTAAGGAAAGCAGCATGTTTATGTGTTTAGCTTATTTTCTAGCTTTGGTTTCGATAACCCATCTCTCAAGCCTTTGTCATTGCTTCTCTATCATAAACTCCTATTGCGTCAGTCTCAGTCCTGTGGTGAGGAGGTTATGTCTGGCAGTGTCCATCCTAAAACCACGCCTACTTTTAGGATCTCTGGTTTGCTTGTTATGGATTTTGGCTGTTCATATTTAGTTGTATGCTATCTCCAGTTTCCACTCCTGCCAATGTGCCATTCATTTTCTGAATGCAAACCGTGCTGCTTTGTCTACTGGGACTATTTATACCTTTGGCAAAAGACTCTGCTGGGCGCTGCTCACTCCATCCTACATCCCTGCTACCAGCTCTGGGTTGTTCGGTTCAGTTTGGTTTGGTTGGGGGTTTTTTGTTTTAATCCAGCATTAGCCTCAACAGCTCCCTGTAGCAGAATGTAAAAGTGCCACCCTTCTGGAGAATAAATGACTTCGGCAGTCATGGAGTTTTTTGGTTTTCCTGGGTGTTTCAATAGTATTTAAAATGCTTCTGCCCTACAAAAAAACCTCTCATGTATTCTAAATACTGCAATGTGAGAGAGCCTGTGCTAGGATCAAGGTGCTCGTGACTCTCCTACATTCCTGTCATCCTCCCCGCCTGAAGCCTCTCTGTCTTATTTACCTTGTGGCAATCTTAACTCTCCTGAACTTATTCCCCAAATCCTCTACTCCTGTGTGCCAGTCAGGAATGGCTGCTATCCAACAGGACATCCTGTCTTTCAGTTTACAGTTTAGTTTAGCAGTCAGAAAATTGATCAGGGAGAAAAATTCAACAGGAAGTTAGAAAATGTAATTATTTCAACTATCTTTCTCTGGCTAGCTCTCTTTTAATAAATTTCTTTACAAAGATATAAAACTAATGTTTTCTGTATATAGGAGGATTCTACTTCTCCTGAAAGATGCAGGCTCTTTCAGGCTCTTAGAGTTCATGGTATTTCGAGTCAGAAAAAAAGCAATATTCAATAGCATTTTGTACAGAGGAAATTTCCTTTTGTTTGAAGAAACAGTTCAGTGGGGTGCAAGTGACTATTTTAAGGAAACTGTGGGGGAAAACACTTAAAATAGACAATGCTTTTGGGGAGAAGAAGTTGTATTTTCTACTTACGTGCCATTGATATGAAGAGATAAACTCAAGTTTTCCATTACATGAGTCTCTCTGGAGCCCACGACATTAATACTTTTAACAGCATCTGGTAGGAAGAAAACAAGCATGTCACACTCCACATGCAAACTTGGAATTAACTGGTTTTCCAGTGAAGGTTTGTTTTCATAGACTCTTCAGATTTTAGTTCCATCAGTCCCTCTAATAATAGTTTCCTCACACCCAAAAAGTAATCCTGCTGGTAAGGTTGTAACTTTCCTGAATGTTTAGTGATTTCTTTTTAGTATATAATCAACTACTTTATTAATCCTTTACATTTTTATTTACATGCTTATTTACTTCAGAAGCTGGTCAAATCAATGAGGCTTTCATAAAGCTTATTTTTTAGAGATAGCCAGCATAAATTAAACAAAAAATTCCTCGAGAAGTTACAGTAAAAAATTTATATTAAGTGTGAGACCTGACTTTTACAAAAGACAGTGAAACTTTTGCTAAATGAAGAAGAAATACAAGATTTTATGTATTTCACCCCATTGTTTCTGCACTAGAACAGTACAATGTCCATTTTGCAATGGAAACTATTACTTGAATAATGTTGACCAGTTCTTTCATGTAAAACAACGCTGAAGTTGCACTGAAACTAGATTGTGTCTGTACATATATACCAAGTTCTATCTGAGTATGCAGAATGTTTTATAATTACCTAACAGGTCCAGAGAAGTGGTAAAATCACCCGTTTTCTGCACCATTTCTCTTTCATGTATAATGCTTCCAATTTGCTCCCATTCAGCTATGACTTTCAGATGCACGGTGCGGTTCCCCACGGCACACCAGTTACAGTAGACAAAGGGTTCCTTGGTAATCTGATAAACTCTGTGTGCAACACGAAAAGACTTAGAATCAAAACTGTCTTTTACTAAGTCCTTGCATATTTCTGACTTAAAAAGGAACAAGCTTGAATATATTTTCTTTATAGACAATGGTATAGTCAGCTGTGATTCCAGTTCTGCTTTATGTCCATATCAACAGAGATTAATGTCTGTGGCATTACCGATAAAAATACAATCACTATAAGACCCAGAGCATGTTTATGCATTTTAGTCAAAGAAACTAAAGGTAATGCTAAAGAATTAACAAAACGGAATAGGAATAGTGGGTAAATCATGAAAACTACTGTTATAGTAGGTGGACTATAAGCACTAAGCACTGAAGCACTAAGGTGGGGGGGGAGAAAGAATTAAAAAATGTACTATTCAAAGACTAAAGCTTACATTCCTATTTGCATACACTTACTTGTATTGGACATATATCCATCCTCAGAGAAGGAGAATAACTGAATGTCTTTTTTCCTCCCTACTGCAGAGTGGTTTAAGGGCTAGATACTACCCACGGTTTTGTTTCTGACAGCTCGGTGCTATGTTGTTTTTTCCCCCCCTCCGTTTTATTATTAGGGTAAGCAGTACGTGTGTGTCTAATGTGCACCTCCGTATTACTGGAGAGACCCATCCACCTTCGGAAGCTGCTCAACCAAGCTGTGGTACGTTTATGGGCAGCTGAGCGTAGCAGCAACTACTTACTGCCCGACCACAAGACAGGACACTGCTTCCATTTGCCTTAAGTGCACAAATTATTCACATATTCAACAACGACATCCTGCTAATGGACATCTGCAGGTCTAACGAAGTTTTAAAATAACAATTCACAGTAAGTTACTTGTTCAGTTCAGCTTATTGCACGCACAGAAATATACCTAAGCCTTTATTTGAACAAGAATTTTAGGTCTTTAAAACATCACCATTTTGTGAATACACAGTAACTTCTGTTTTAAAGTGTTGATAATTCACCTAGTTAACAAGTGTACCAATGGAAAAAGGTGTGTGCTGCTCTTTCCTACGACTTAATCAGGGTTTTTCTCTAGATGAGCATCTGAACCAGAGCCATCTTGAATACTCATTAAAGCAAACAAAGTAACCACACCTACCCATCTCCAAAATCCCATCTGTAGACAAATGATGCTGAGTTGAAGTAATGACTTGGGTCATGAAGACAGAAAGAAATCCGGGTCACGGTGCCCGTGGAGGAGCTAGAACCATGCGTGATGAATCTACTGTCTTCTATCTGGGCAATGGTAAGATTCCCTGTGATAAATTCTGCAGTATAACAAGGTGGAGAAAGAATCACAGTATATATCACTTTCATAGCACGCTCTGAGCATCAAAACGTTATTTAAAATGTACCATGTACCCCTTTTTATGTCCTAGTCCAAGGGGCTAAGTGTATTTCACATCTATTACTCCGCGTTGTTACATATGTTAATGAAAGACGGAATTACTTATTTAGGGTTGTACAACAGGCTTCTAATAGAACTAAGAGAAATAATCACAGACTGACTGAGGTCAATGTAATTTTTTACTATTGATTTGAAAAGAATTGGGATTAACATCAAGCATCTAGATCAAGGGGTTCAGAATCACACCAGTGTACACACTCTTCATGTTTGGGTTGGCAGGTTTTATTTGCGTTTTATGTTGCTGTTTTGGGGGTTTCAGTTTTAGCTACTTCCACAGAAATGCCAATTTGAGTACTGTGAATAACAGATGTGCTAGATATTGTGAATACAAAAAGGGTGAAGTTTTGATTTTGATGTCTGTGAGACAGACAAGTGTGTGTCCAAGGACTGGCAAAGGCTGGTCTAAAAAACCTCTCCAACCTATGAATAAAGAGGTATTATGATGATACACTGATCAGGTCATTATAAAATCAATGGGATATTAATTATCACTAACAGACTTTTACCCTGTTAACAATTAATCAAATTTGGCTAACTGTTCTTTTGATGATGCACAAATAAGAATCACAATAACTACTGCAGAATGGGGCTGCTAATGCAGAACTAACTGGAGTTGTAATTTATGAGTTATTGGCAACTGCCTTTGGGGTGCTCTCTGACCTTTCACAGCTATAGAAAGCTGCTCCTTTTGCTTGTGGCATGAGAATATGACAGTGCAAAGTGAGAAAGGACTGAGTAGATGTACGTCAAGGCAGCAGTTCTTAAAGAGAGGAAAGATGTCATGTATACTTTTATAAAGACTTATTTAATAAGCTTGCCGTTTCTCAAAGAAAAATCTCAATATCTATTGCCCAAAATGTCAGATGTGCCCTACAGTTAGCTCTTTTGTCCTCAGGTGTGCCCTTATCTTTGTCTGGGAGCTGGGTGTCTATTTTGCAGTGTGGGAGTACTGGGACACGTGGTTGGAGGGACATGGTTATTAGCTTCTGAAAGATGGGATTGGGGGAAGATGTCAGGTGATGTTTCATGTTAATCCTTGTATCAGAGATTAGGTTAACCATAGTGCACCACTGGTCAATCTTGCCAAAAAAATGCACGGATGTGGATATGAATATTCCCAGTAAGCTGAAATTGCACTTAGCAATATTTGGAAACGCAGCCATGACTTCACATCCAATTTCAGTACACTCAGTCAGAACTCTAAAGGAAAATGTCATGGCTCTGTTGGCTGATGGCCTAAGTTTTGGCTATGTCACGCAACAGGGAAAATCAGTAGCTTGTCACTTCTGCTGACCATCCTAACTTCAGGACTACAAATGCTGGGAAGCAGTACAGGAAGCACTGGTTTAGGAGCCTGGACATCACTGAATAATGCTGATGTGTGAGCTGTGGCTACTGAAGCATCTGGTTTCTAGCCCTCCGGGTCATAGAGGCAGGAAAAGATGGGCAGCCTCACGCTTGCTTTGTAGAGGTAGGCAGACTACAGTGTGGCCCAAATGCCTGACCAAAACCTCCTTCAATCAAAGGGCACAAATCAAACTGTTAGCTGGTCATATTTATGCCTGGCTTTCCTGTTTCTGATGCTAGCAAAGTCAGCAAGCATTCTGATGTGTATTGAACTCCTGAAGACACAGGGGTTGTAAAGCCATTTTACCTGTAATTTGAAGCATGGTGACGTTTCTAGCAACTGGCCGACATAACAAACAGTTTCTATGAGTCACCCAGACAGATACAGGAAAAGTCCCAGGAAATTCGCCGGTCACATTAATCGCGGAGTTAAACTGCTGCTCAGATTTCTCTATCAGAATCAGAGGAGCATAAATCCAGTTGAAGTGATACAAGTTTGATGCAACACTCTCATTCTTCATGCTTAGACTGGCGTGAAGAGTAGCTTGAGCTCCCGTTGTGATGGGACCATTGTTGGTTATTTCCAGATCATACTCCTCTGGAAATCAGAAGGAAAAAAACCTCCAAATCTTGTTGTATTGCATTTTTAAATGTATTTATTTATGTACATGTTTAAACTGGTCAGCTGTGGTTATGTGACTCACAATGACACTCATCCCAGCGAAAACTTCACCGCCTTTTTTTTTAAAAACCATTTAAGAACTTGCAACAGAAACTGTTGCATGTATATGTGAGTTCAAACAAGTAGCATTAAATAACATGTTAGAATGGGTCCTAAGAATGTTAATAGTAGAAGAGAGATTCAGAGTAGAACATCACAAAAACTTCGATGAGGTTTTATAGGCAGAGCTGGGTGCTGGCTGTAGGTTCAGTGTCAACAATGATCTAACATGGTCGCTAAACTTCCAGCTACTGGAAAAAAGTCAAGCTCAGCTCTAATCTCTGTCCTAAAAAAAAAAAAAAAAAAAGGAACTTTCAAACTCAGGAAAGATTTCATCCAATAGATTCCTTTGATAGCTCTGTTGACACACATACATCTCCCTCACCTTCCTCCTAACTGAACAAAAAACCTCAGTGCCAGCTGCTTCTTTTCTATGGACCACCATTGACTCCCTTTTCCAGGAACAGACCAGAAATCCCAAAGTAAATGTAACTTGTACCATGCCCCAATGGCAGAACACTTTATGCCAGAAGGGCAAAACTAGGGTTCTTGCTTTCTGACTTCCACGTCTGGGTACAGCAAGGCGTGAGAAGTGCAGGATGTGATACTGAACCATCCCTGCTGCTCTGAATTGCTCAGCGTTCTCTTCCCTGCCATGTTTGCACAAGCTACCTCCTTCAGCTCTTACAACTGCTGCCATGGGCTGAGCGTGAGTGAGGTTTGGTTTTATGGAAGGGATACATCCAATATAAAAAAAAAAAGGAGTCCAACGGGATTTAATGACCTGCATGTGCTAAAAACAACAAAATAAAACCCCACCCCGAACCCCAAAACAAAAGGAAAGGCAATGCCCACTGAAAGCTGTGAATTAGGGCAGAGCTAGGAACAGGATCTCGCCGTTTGCCTCCAACACGGAGCGTTTCCTCCCTGCATCAGCCCTCTGACGGGCTATCCTCTCACCAGCGAGCGATGCTGGGCAGAGCAGCAGAGCTGTGGGGTTCTCGTGCTGGTGACTTTCCTTCTCTTTTCTTTCAGCAGCCACCAGATTGCTAGCAGGAACCTGAATCTTTGAGCTTCAGAACCTGCATTTCTCAGTCCCCCCCGCAGAGTTGGAACACTGGGGTCAGCTAAGCCCCTACCTGCACCCATCAGCCTGGGATGGGGGGGCAGGAGAACCCAAAGTACCCGCTTAGTACCCACATTTTACTCCACAGATGGCAGGTGCTGAGCAAATCTGGTTGCCAAAGGACTGTAAGAGATAACTGGAACGTTACAGTCTGAGCGGGAACTCTACTGTTCCCATTTCACAACACGGTTCAGATTTTTGAGTTAACAGAAAAATGCTTGTGATTTGATGAAATCTGGCACAGAGGTTTCAGGTCTCTGGAGGAGTCAGGCCACCCTCTGCTTTGTAGCAGAACTTGGGGAAAACAACAGCCCGGTGCCTCGTGCTTATCTAGCGCTTCTCCTTGGCAGTTATCACGGTTCTTGACAAAACAGGGCCATTCCCAAGCCCAAGAGCTGCGGCAGCTGGAGGTTAGGTGGCTAACCCAAGGTCATGCACTGAGTCCCAGAGCCATGGAGCCAGGCATTTCATCCAGCTCTGGGACTTCTGCTCCCTTTCCGACCCCCTTGCAGAACGCAGCAGCGAGGGGCAGAGGCAGCCCAGGCGCCTCTGGGGCAGCGGAGCAGCAGCAGAGCTTCTGGGGTAGGAGGTGCAGAGCAGACCCCTGGGTCCCCGCGGCGCCCAGCT